AAGGTGTTAAATGTTTATACTACGGAAGACGACCCAGAGAAGAGTACTACGGAAGACGACTCAGAGGTACCAGAGTGAGAGTACTACGGACGACGAAGGGAGACCGTAAAGGATTTGTCCATGGGGAACGCGAGCTAATAGCGTACTCACATCAAGCAATTAATATGGTTTTGCGATTGACTACACTTTAACGTCACCCGCGCGGACATAGTACAGATCAAAGTGAAGTGGCTTCTGGGTTGGCTGGAAGATCGAGAGTACGAAAATTTCGCGGTACTATGGCGGCAAACATTTTCGCCATAGAACCAGGCTGTAATAAACGTTTACTAAGTGTGTCAGTGTTTCTCAATTTCTCCAAATAGAATGGAGCAAGCTGAAGAAGCATTGCAAAATATTCTTTTCGTCGTCAGACAGAAGGCTTACTTCTCTTGATGTTGTGACGCAAGATGCGCTCGATGATTCTGAGTACGAAACAGTGCATTGAATATTCAGCGGAACTGCGGGGCTGCCCGGAGCAGCGCAAAAAGAAAACCAAAGGCCTAGAATAACACCTCTATGGTCATCATCACAAGATTCGGCACCTGATGCTTGGGTTAGGAGTCATGACAGATCCGAGGATTTATTGTTCTTTTAAAGAACAAAGCGATGGGAAGAGACTAGAGAAAGGTTCGAGCTGATGCGGTAACTGCATGGATGATAGCTCTTGGACTCATACAATCGAGAATGTGTAGTGAGTATAGTTATAATTCCATTGTGACTTATGTGAGTAGACGAAGCACAAAATGTATAACCTTTACATTTTGTACTATTATGAGTGCTGCATCTCCCTTACTCTCAAAAGCATTACAGATCCGGCGCTGTAGGCATACGCCATGTGATCATAAGCACATAGATCGAGTCAGTTCAATGGGTATTTGGTCAAAAAAGCTCTTATAATGCCGATGACAAACAAATTGCTAACATCATAGAGGCACAATCTATGAGACTCTTTGTAAGCTGCTACAAAACAATGCAACATGATACAAAATCGATTATCTTAGTAGAGCTAGGAATACAAAAAACTTTTTTTAAGTCTCAAAAGATGGTGGTAATTCACGGGAATGAGAAATCATCTCCAAGATATCTCATTTTTTTGGATACTTAGCTTCATGACAAAATGTACCTCGCATGAATAGAATGCATAGCCATGTAAGGTCTGTCGTCTAACAGTGGGTCGTCGCGTCGTTTAAGTCACTAGACAAGAAGGCCATGCATCAACCTCGACCGATCTCCACCTGTCATCAGCGCGCTGCTACCCTGATCACCGTTTGATCCATTTTGCAAGCAATACTGTTAAATGACATAACATGTGGCCGTGTAGAAGTCAGACAAAATCGTGTCGCAAATCATATGGCACTAAGCTAGATTAAGTCACATATTTATAATTAAGAGTCTCCAAGACAAATTACAAACGGCTTAACCAAAATTTCTGTGTTTGGTGATCGTCCTTCTACATAACTTTGCGGTAAACCTATACTTCCTCGCGGTAAATAAAATAGCTGGTGGACGAGATTGTTGGCAGGTCGAGCAACCAACTGACTTGTACCATTACCTACCAAGCCAAATTTTACAGCGAAACAGCCAAACTTAGTCTTTTGACAAATCTTGACCTTTTTTCGAGGAGAGGCACTACGCAATTACCAAGCCTATTAAACAACATAAGAATTTACAAAGCCACCTTTGCAGACGTCAGTAGACGCTTCTCTCCAAAGAAAAAAGAGTCACTTCAACTAACTGTAGTGTGCATCCCAGTTATCAACCAGTCATCCAAAACAGTCCCCCGAAACAATCCTTCCTCAACAAGAAGAAAACATACGTACATGTCACGCTTGCATTGATAGTCAAGTGTCACAAAGCAGCAAAAGATGCCAACGCAACATAACCCATCAGCTTCCCTATCTCAGTCAATCTCCTTCCTTCTCCATTTGATCGTCCCACCAATATGGTCGTCAGCACTTCCTCCGTATGGCAAAACAACGTCCGCTATCAGCTCCTCTAAAAAGCTGTAGCATCCACCTGGCGCAAATGTGCAGAGCACAAATCTTTGCGCCGACATGGTTTAACACATCCATCGACGGTGCAGCGCTTACCACCACCGTGCGTAGCACATAGGCCTCCACCACGATCATTACGCATACAACCTGGTACCTCACATAGGCGAGACCCGCCATGGAGAGCACAGTAATCACCACGCTGCGTACCCTTGTCGCAGCCATCAAACATGCAGCGCTTGCCACCGCCGTGTGACCGGCAAAAGCCACCACCTTGAGAGCTACGCGAACAGCCACTATACAGGCAGCGCGGGCCACCGCCGTGAGCCTTACAAAGAAAATTCGACTGGGCGGCCTTATCGCAGCCTTCATGGCTGCAACGCTTTCCACCACCATGGCGAATGCACAAATTGCCGCCTTGCGAGCTCTTGCCACATCCATCGACAGCACATCGACGACCACCACCGTGTGAGATACATAGGCCATTAGAGCGAGAGCGCTTTAAACAACCTTCACTTTTGCATAAACGACGGCTCTTGACCTCAACGCGCTTGGCTCCAGTCTTCAACCTCGTTATGTGCGGTTCAGAGCGATCCGAAGTCACCATTTCGTTGTAATCGGGCTCGAGAGACTCCAAAACACCTTCGACGGAAAAACCCGAGAGCACATTCAAGTTTAAAATACCGTCATTGATCTCGAGAGTCTTCTCCGACTTATCTTCGGGAGCATCCACCAAAAAGCTGTACAAAATCGACATCTCCGTCCCGTCAAAGCCCTCATCCAGATTCACGTAGTTGGATTTGGCAATCTTGGGGTCGTCCGGTGTCGATAAATCCAATAATTCTTGCAGCTCCTGAACATCAAAGTTCTGTTGCGAGACAGCGGTCTCGGATTTGACCTCGAAAGGAATCGGGGCGGGCGCGTACGAGTGTGGGGGTAGGCCCATATCTAGCAGATTGTTCGTCGAAGTGTCCATGCCCCATGGCACGGTCGGCATGTCGTTTTTTGGAATCGACACAGAGGGCAGTGCCGGAGGCGATGCCGCCATACTAAGCATGTGCATATGGTCAGCACCAAAGACCACGTCCCCTCTGGTGGACCAGGCTGGCGCGTGACCCATCATTTTGGGTTTTTGATTGTTCATACAATCACTGCTTCCCTGAAGGCCCGCAAAAAACGCGGCGGCTGGGCCCATGCCACCGAGCGAATCGCGCGACTCAATTGGTCGACACATTCTCAATTGACTTCACAGATAGCTCTCTTCCTTTCGGTATTCCGTTTTGATATCTCGCTCTAATCTCACTTTGCGGACAAAGATGGTTGTGGGGGTTTTATTCCATCCAAATTGCAGATAAAAAGGGTAAGGTTTAAGGTTTTTCAGCTCTGAGGTTGTTCGGAGTCTCAGAGTCTGACCTGCACAATGACCGTACGAGTGCTAAAACAACAACAATAGACTCCTAGTTTAAGTTTTACTATCAACCACGTATACAAATCCGTTAGTGGCAGTAGTAAATAAATTTACGAAATTTGACAGCTTCAAAGCCCTCGTCGCAGAGCTTGTGGTCGCACTTGACGTATTATAATAGTTTGAATGTAGCTGAAGTGGCGTTGAAACATCCAGTTGGCGTTGGCCAATAAAATATTTTTACTAAGAACCATATAAAGAAGCAAGATATAGCGGTTTCGCAATGCACAACGGTTCACGCAGTCAGTCTGTCATTTGTGAGAAGTAGTGGTGTCGAGATTGTGGGGCAGGAAGGCATTAACAGTTATCAGCAAAAACACTGTAGGAATACTAGAATGTTTACAAATGTTGATCGAAGGTAACAAACTACCGATCTGGCTCGATTGCATGAGTAGACTTTACAGCCAATCAAAGAATCCGTTGATAAAATGTATAATTATTCCCAGTACGTCAGTTAAAACTGTACCCATTGAATTGTTTTTTCCACAAACAAATCTTCTCGGCTTATCACTTCAAAAGCTTGAAATGCCTAAAGCACCATGTAACTATTTACTATGTGAAAATATGGTAGTGCATCTCTAGAAATTCAATGTCAGTACATCACTAAAAATCATCACAGACTGCTGGGTTTAGTCATCAGTGTCTTCGCGTTCATCTTGCGGCATGCAGCGTCAGAAATGATGTATGCTATCATGGAGCATAGCGATTTTAAATTTGTAACAATGAGCCAAACAATAGAAGTTTGTTGTCTACGCGCGACCAAATATTCTGTAGAACATCGTAGCGCAACTTTGGATTCGTGTGTCTATCGTGTTTCGACGTAACAGATGACTTTCTTAAATGTCACGCTCAACTATTTGAGAAACTATATATCTGCACTCTTCAAGAGTATTTATCGGCACTATTTCTTGTGGCGCCCGCGATAATCCTAATGTAATTGCTTTCAACTTTTATTGACACCTTAAGAATCTTATTGCGCATAACCTAATCAGCATAGTTAAGTACTAAGGAAACCGCTCTGACAAAGTACCATCTTCATGATGATCAGCAAACGTCGCGTCTACTGCCGACGGCATGCCAACAAATGCCTACCAGTGTTTCCGTTGATTAGTGCTCTAGAATCTATACTTGTTGATTGTAAAAACATTATAAAAACATTATAGGCGCAATAGAGGCGAGCCTGAATTGATGTACAGGAAATGACGGTTTATACCGAGAT